CGGCCTCTTCCTGCTCAGTCTGGGTGGCACTGTCGACGATCAGCAGTGACGCTGCAACACACATCGCCTCACGGCGCTGCTCCTCATCGCCACTGTCGCTTTCATGGCCATCCATGACTTGCCTCCCAGCGCTTCAATCGGGGTGTTGTGGGGGAGCTGTTGCCGTAGCGAACGTGTTTGTGCGTACCCGTCACCGGCTCTCTATCGAAGGAACTTCGGCGTGAACTGGGCGTGGAAGATCCCAATACAGACGGGAATGGAGTTTGAAACCCATTCGGATTTCCCGCATATATTTACCCAACCGGAACGGGAAAGTAAACCGCCAAAATTTCGCCAAAACCGGATGCGGGAGACGGGAATTGAGTTTGAAAGATGTCTAATGTCATTTCGAGCGCACCCGCCGCCTCTTTCGCACGAAGGTGCGCAGTGAATTTCCCAAGACGCTTTGATCTATCTATTAACATTCATGCGAGTACCGGGAAGAATGCAAACACCAGTGACTCTGATGACCAGATGCAGCACAAGAGAGGCCATCCCCGAAGCCAACCTCTCGTTTGAATGGTGCAATATGGTTCGCTATTGGTGATGATGCCATCATCTTGTCAGAGAGGGAAGCCGTTGACATGTTGAACGGAGTTCTTCCCGAGAATAAACACCACCAGCAGCAGGCAACAAAACAATCCCATCACCCACTTCTTCTCACCGACAAGGCCTCTGATCACGCCACCGCCCAGCTTTTGCTTCGCCACCATCTCATGCAGCTCTCCGTAGGTCGACGGCTGCCGGATGATCCTGATCGAGACGCGGCCGCTCTTGGTGAAGCTGGTCCTGCTGCTGCTGCCTCCGCTCTCGCCGGTGCCCGGCCTCTCCCGAGAGGACGGCCGCTGTGCTGGAAGCGGCATGACGCAGGAGTTCGCAGTGGCGTCGATGCTGTCTCCGGCACTGGGAATGGCGCAGAGGCTTGATGTCCTCCTGGGGCTGACACGGAAACCCTCGTTAGTTGGCGCCTGCTGTGGAGCTCCGCCAGGCAGGGAAGATGCTCCGCCCCCGTCAGCGCCGTCGTTCCAGCCCCGACGCCTTGGAGATCCCCTCTTGAAGAGAGAAAGCTTTATTCTGCCGGGTCCGCCGCGGCTGCTGTGCTTCTCCCGTGGCGGAGAGCGCGACAGGGGTTCTCTGCTGCTGCTGCTGCTGCTGCTGCTGCTGCTGCTGCCGCCGCCGTTAGCTTCCGGTTTCACGGTGGCGATGTGCACCTTGCTGCTGGCAGAGCTGCTGGCGCTGCTGGCGGTCTTCCGCCCACTCCCCGGTCTTCGTGTGGTGCCGTTTAGGGAAGACTTCGTCGTGCCCATAGCAGCGCCGCGGCGATTGGTCCGCGGCACCGACTATTCGACCACTCTCTATGCGCTTGAGTCAGACCGCAACATCACTCATCACTCACAGAGACCGGAAGCACGGGGTACGTACAGCAGAGTCAGTAGTTGCAAACCACTCTCTTTGTTTCAGCAGCAGGTTTTCTTTATTTCGGCCAGGTTTCAAAATCTTGCGGGGGCGTTCGCTGGAACGTTTCATGTAAGAACACGACGGCGACGACGATGAGGACGACCGATGGAGCGCGATCATGTGTTCCTCTCCTGCCCCCCCCCCCCCCCTCCCCCCCTTCGCTCTCGGTGTCCTCGTAGAGGTGCCCACGGAAAGCGATAGGTACAAGTTGCAGATGAGTTGCTGCTATCGAACGCCGGTAGACTGGTAGAGATCGAGCAACGGCTGGATCCTGCGTCCATACCGACAACATAAAGCACCCAATATCTTTTTTTCTTCCTACATGAAGACGAGCGATCGCAGCCTATAGTCTAGATGTCGTCGTCGGGATCCTCTCGGGAATCTTCTCGCAGCAACAGCTCCAACGGTACGGAGACAAACGACAGCACCAACAGCGGCAGAGGGGGAAAGAGTGCTGATGATGGCGAATCTGAGGACGACAGGAGGAGCGACCGGCAGGATGATGATGATGGCACAAGTGGTGATGAATCCACCGGCAGCAACGACACCAGACGGGTTGATGAACTCTCTCGGCAAGATTCGGGCTCGGATGGAAACAGCAGTAGTCGTAGTTCTCGACCAAGTTCCTCACGACAATCGCAGCAGGAGGGGTCGGACGCAGACGAAGCCGCATCATCGTCTAGCACCCACAGAAGCAAGAATGCCACGGAGACCGACGGCGAATCGGAGGCGAGCGAGCGGCGGCCGAACAGCAGCAGTGGGGCCAACACTGATGGCAGCAGTGGCGGGGTCAAAAGACGGCCGCAGAGCGCACCATCGCAGTCGGGAAACGAGGAAAATCCTTCCAGCACCGGGCGAGGCGAGTCGGCACGCTCAGGTAGTCGGGACTCCGCTCGATCAGACAGCGACGGCAGCAGCGTTGGTGACAGTGACAGTGGTAGAGGGCAAGATGAAGCGAGCGAGGAGAGTGATCACGGACGCAAGGAGGAGGCCGACGATGACACCAAAGGAGAAGAAAATAGAAAAACTACCCTTAGCAGCAGTGACAACGGCAACGACAGCAGCAATGATGCCTTCTCCAGGATCAGCTCGGCCGGTTCATCTGGCACCAACTCCGCAACAAAGCCCAAACGTAGCAGTAGTCGGATCGAAAAGACAAAGAGACGGAGTTCTTCCCAGAGTAAGCAGCAAGAAGCCACTTCCGCAACGAAGATTCAGCGCCAGGTCCGCACACGTCAAGCCAGGGCGAAGACAGGTAGACACGTCCGGCGGCGACACCAGGCGGCCACCAAGATCCAGGCAACAACACGGGGGCGTCGTGAGCGCCGAAAGCACCAACGACGAGACCAATCAGCCACAAGCCAGGGCGACACAGACTACCCATCCCCGACCACGGTCGATAGAGACTCTCCCTCCGGTGGGCGCCGAACGCGTGGGGGCCACAGGGAGGCAGGTTTTGAAATCGCGGGCGAGGCCGATCGTGTCGCAAGCACCGGAAGACTGCACGGCACGAGTCACCCTCTAACGGAAGAGGAGCGAGAGGCCGCCGTCTCCGACAAGAAGCTCAGTATCGCTACCAACCACAACGTCGACTTGGAGAGCGATTTTCGACGAACTGGTAGGCGCAACAGGGATGACGCCCTCGGGGAAGACGACGCAGCAAGGCGCATTCAGAGACAAGTTCGGCGAAGATCGATGGCGAGAAAAGGGACGCGTAACGGCGGACACCGTCCAACAAGCCGCGACCGGGCAGGTGGAGACTCCGGTAGCGTCGTCGAACAAGAAGAGCAGGGGGAAAGGGTAGCTCGAAAGGAGGTGGAGATGAGGCAGGACGGGGGGTCGAAATGCGGCAGGGGGGCACGCAGCCGGGATTGTGGACCCCTAGGAGAGGACGAGGCAGCGCGGCGTATTCAAAAGGCTGAGCGTAGACGACAGAGGGGTGCGAGGGTGTCCTGTCAGCAGCAGGAGCGAAACGGCGGTAAAGACGTGATTGGGGAGGATGTTGCAGCCAGACGTATCCAATCGCGGGTGAGGCGCTGGAACACCAAAGGGCATGAGGAGGTGGGTGGATCCGACGAGGATGCTGTAAATGTACGAGGTATGGTGACCAGAGCACGAGGGCAGTTTAGCGGGCGACACCTATGCGTAGGGGTCACGTTCGTGTGCGGAAGATTTTGCAATTTTCGTTTGCGTCGAGAGCACGAAAGAAACGAACAGGTTTTGGGTTCGTGATAGTAGTTGTAATGACTGGCTCATGAGGAAAATTCCGGCTCCCCATATCCTCTGTCAAAATTGTGCCCTGTACCAGATACATAGGTCATTTCAGAACCCAACAGTCCAAATTTACTACCGTCTCTCAGCTTGTTTTCTGGGGCGAGACCACACCTTCCTCGGCACAAGCCCTGACTCAATACCGTCAAAAAGTCATTAACAAACACGCCGTTGTTCTCGAAGCCAGAACACACGGGGTCATCTCGCCCACAACCTGAAAATCGTTTTGTTATCCCTTCCCGTGCCCACCGCTCAGAAACACTTCACACTCGCCAACGAACCAAGCGCTAACGAACGGGACGGATTCCCCAGCAGCTCACCCGAGGGCTACGCGGCGCTAAGCTTGACCGCAAGGTCCCCCAGCCCCTCCCGGCGGCACCAGCAGCCACGGTCCTGGATGTCTCCCGGGAAGGCGGCGGCGACCGCGGCGGCGGCGGCGGCGCAGGAGGCCGCGAGGGCAGCGGCGGCATCGGTAAAGGCTGCGGAGGCGGCGGCGGACGCCGCGGAAGCGGCCGAGGCAGCCGCAGAGGCGGAAGAGGAGTCCCAGCAGTCGCAATCGAACGCTTTCCGCTCGCCCCCGCGGACGAACTCCGAGCCCCGCCGACATCCGTCCCCGGCTCAGTCTGCGTTTTGGGTCACGGACGGGAACGAGAGGGGGTCAGCAGACCACGGCCACGCCGACGGAAGCAGCCCAAAGTCGCGCACCCCCCGCCCGATGGACGATTTGTCCACCGAGGGGGAGGGCGGCAGAGCGGAGGAACGCCACGCAGGGGGGGTACGACATAGAGGACAAGATGGTGAGGATCACGGCAGCAGTGGACGCGGAGGCACCGAGGAAGAGATGCTGAAACGGGCGCGCGAACAGGTGGGGGGGTACGACAGGCAGGAAGCCAACATACTTCCGTTGTGCTGAGGGGTTGAGTAGACCAGGTGGTTCAAAGCGATGTTGTTCTGTCCAACTTCCGGATCCGCTTACAAACGTAACCATAGTCTAGTCGACAACGCTCCCTGATCTGTCTGTACGCATGCCAACCGAAGCAGGCACGAAGGCACGCTCGAGAGCGACGGGCCCGTGCGATGGCGAAGGAGCAAGAGTCAAAGCGAGAGCTACAGGCGGTTCAGGCCGACCTCGTAAAGGCGGAGGCATGTACTACTGCATGCTTGTGGCTGCCTTTTTGTTTGCACCCGTGGGAAGCCTGCGTGTTTCTCCTGGGATATTGGAGGGTAGAAAAACGTATTATTTTATTGTAAGGCCACAAGGCCGTTTCATATCGTCGAAGGATCATGTCCCGGGGGTTCTGATGACCGTGCCCTCGAGCAAATGACGCCTCGGTTATCCACATCGGGTTGGCCACCCTCTGTGGTGTGTGTACGCAGCACCTAACATTCGAGAAGTAACCACGGTGCGCGTTACACCTACGTTACACCGCTCTGCGTTGCAGGAACTGCGCGAAAGGCAGGCCATGGCCGAGAAGTCTGCTTTGGAGGCCAAACGAGCTCGGGTGATGGAAGACATGAAGAGGCGTCAGCAAAGGTTGCAGCGCCTTCAAGAGGAAGAAGGGTGCGAGGCCTTTGGCAACGGATCGTCTGACCGTTGGTTTCCTATCATTTCAGTTTGAGATATGGCTTCGATAGTGCAAAAACACCACGATCCTCCAAGTGACATACCCTCAAAAACAAGGTGTACTGGTCGCGTTAGAGTCGTACGGCTAATTCTTCAATCTCTGCATTCCTTTCAAACTCGTAGAACCTAGCTGGTTGGAAAGGTACGGGGAGGAGCACGTGGCATTTTGACCCCGCACATCCTTGGCAACCGTGACTGAAACAAACACTGCTTCGTCGTAGGATCCCCAAGCCTTTTAAGACACGCACATATGGACCCCGTCCCAAACCGATTCCACACCCTCGTAAGCTAGTATTACCCTCGCAGGTAGACGTTGACTTGTGCACCCTCCGGTCTTCCACCTCACCACCTACCTACAGCAGTCCCATCCTGTCCGATGACGGTTTCAACCCTTTCCCCGCCCTCACCGACGACGGGTCCCTCCAGCTTGCTACGGAGGCGGGGGGAATCCCGAAATTCTAGCCCCAGCAGATCTTCCTCCGCGGATGCCCCGTGGAACAACGGGGAGCACGGACAAGGAGCGATAGGTGGGGGGCAGATGGGGGCAGAGGGTGACGATGGGGCTACGGCGGTCTCGTTGCCGCCGCTGGAGAGGGGCGGGGGGCTGGGAGACGCGCGGGCGAGGCGGAAGCCGAGGCACGTGTCGACGTTTCGGGAAAGGATCCTGGAGGAGAGACGGCTAAGAAAAGAGGCACGTCAACGAGCGACGGGGTCCAGTTTTGGAACCCTTAACCTTACTTAGGGCATGCATTCCACTATGGTGAACGTAGATCTAGTTTCGAGACGGGACGTAAGTTCCGCAACGTTCTTCTTTCGAACTACTGTAGGGATGCTATTTCGTAAGGTTGGGTGACGTGACATGGCGTACGTGCCTTCGTAGAGTTAGGGCCTAGGGTAAGAAAATAAAAAGAGGCCCCATACCCCCTCGCCTTCATACAGAAACAACCGGTTGCGAAAAGGAAAACAACGTGCCCATGCCGGCAACGAACCCCCGGGTCTGTCTCGCGGAAACTTCTCGTTCTCGTTAGCCTGGACCCTGGTAGGTGAGCACTTTATTCCCTAAAATCCTTGCAAGATGGGCAGTTATAATGTATGCTCCGATTTCCTTTCGCCTCTCCCGCATTTTTTTCGACTTGTGGCTAAATCAGGTCGACGTGTTGAAGCGGAAGGAGGTGGAGGAGAAGCACACCCGCCAAGCCGACTACGCCGCCAAGGTGAAACGGTCTGCCACTTCATGTCACGAGTGTCGCCGTGCTGCAAAGTGGCCCGCTCTTTGGATGTTCGCTACTATTCTGGACACATGGCCAGACAGCACATCACAGCTGGTCCTAACGTACCCGTAAACGGAGCATTCTCACCTAAGAGAGGATGATGCTGACGTCTTAGCCACCTCACGCAGAAGTTGATGAACGGCTGACCTTTATAGGAAGGTACATCGAGATTTTTTAGGCTCGGAATAGGCCGGAGAAGACGGTAGCTGTACTGGGGTATAGGAAGTGGGCTGAAAAGGGGGGAAGCGATATCCATAGGATATAACGGGTTGGGAAAACGATATTGAGCCACCTTTGGTAAGTAAGAAGTAACGATTGGTGATCGGTCCTACGGGAACAATGCTCCGTCCTGTCGAGGACGCGTGTCCAATAGTCTAACCGCTAAGGCATGAAGAACGTGAGAGTACGCCCCCCTCGTCCGACTACACGCTCACCTCCGAAACGTTAGTGCAACACGTAACTCACGCTCAACTAACACCCCCACCCTCACAGATCCGGGCGCAGGCGAGGCGTGCCCTAGCAGCCGAGCAACGGCGCGCGCGAGCAGACGCCGACTTGAACGCTCGGAGAAGCGGCGGCAGCCAATCAGCGGTCGACCGAACCCCGATCGCCATCAAGCGACCAAAGCGCGAAGGCGAGTGGGGAGTCTTCTCCTACGCTCCGGACAGACCCGCCGACGAGCCTTCCCCCAAGATAGGACAAGGACGACCTTGCGACGGCCGCCCGGCGGAGTCTGGATTCGGGTCTACGGGGAGGGTCCACGGGCGGCTGGGAACGTCGGAGTTGGTGGACAGGATGAGGAAGGAGCGGGCGAGAGCGACCGATGCGAGTCGTGCGCGGGCGGCGGCAGCGGCTGCAAGAGGAGGTGGTCGTGGCGGAACCGAACACAACGATGGTACACAGGATGACACCGGTGGCTACGGAAGTGAACCAAACGGGACAGCGCCGGCAGGTGGCGACGGGGGCGATCAAGGCCGGGGTGGGCACGAAGTAGAGATGCATCCACGCAGACCATCTCGTGGTGGGGGTGCGGGTAGCAGCAGTGGGAGGGCAAACGCTGCGCGGCGGTACCAAGGCGCACAAAACAGGCCGCCGCCGCCACGACAAAACCGTCCAGCCGCTACCGGAAGAAATGTTCACGCCATGTACGAGGAGAGGCTAGCAGCCCTCGAGCGACGCCTTGCGGAAGGAGGAGGGAAAAGAGGTGGAGGGGGAGGAATACAAAGAGGAGAAGCAGCAGCAGGAGGACGAGAACAAGACGCAAGGACCGGAAATCGAGGTTCGAATGCTGGTGGAAATCCATCGGGTGGGAGTGGCAGCGACGGCGCGCACGCGGGAAGAACAAGCGGCGGAGCAGAGACAAGATCGACTCGAGAGGAGGGGGAGTGGGGGGCCGAAAACAACCCTTTCGGGTACCGCAAGCTGTCCAGGGGGAACGAGGGTCCTAGATCGATCCCATCGTCGGGCGTGGGTGGCGAACGGTTGGTCAATAGCCGGAGAGGGTCCGAGGCTAGTGGAGGGGACGATGTAGAGGGATTGAGCACCATGTACATGGGCCCTATCACGCACAAGATGGCCGAGTTACGGGCGGGCAACGGTTGAATTCGAATTTGTTCCCTCACGGAAGCACTACACTGTACCAACTGGCAGACAATATTCGGCATGAGGTGGTGATGGATTCAATGTAGCTTTCCTGTGTGTTTGAGTACAATTAAATTATCTCCCCTTTGTGGAAAACAGGCTCGATAAGACGGTGCTTTGGCCATTTTTGTGTATCTTGTAGTTTTGTCTGTACATTCTTCGGACAGATTTTCCTCCCGTCTGGCATTTGTTTTTGAACCCATTGTTTTCTACACCAAATAGGAAAAGTTGTGCTTCCTCGGGCTGTTTCGCACGCATTTTGTCCTACTGTCCCTGTCAACAAATACGTAGTCTGCATTCAGACTTGCGCGCGCAGTCGGACCGTGCCATCGACCACAACCTAAGCGATGGCGGATAGATATGTGAGATACACCGACTGTCCCGAAATACTGTAGAATTCGGACCATGGTCGGTTCAGGAACGCAGGTTTTGTCCACGCAGTAAGCCATCTCCGCAACAATCTCGGGAAAAATGTTTGTACGGAAGTAGGTGTAGACCTGGCGTCAGAATCGATTGCGAGGGAAACGAGCCTTGACGAATGAATGCCGAAGAGCACCTAAGGTGCGCGACAGCGGCACGTCGGTTTGCTTGATAAAGTTTCGTCTTTTGAGCTGTTGTGGTACGAATGTACTCCGCTGGACACCGGGATGTAGCCCAACGCTTCGGAGCAGAGAGGCGACACGTTCACTCGAAGAGAGAGCCAAGCACACGGGAGGGAGTGCCAGACCTTTTACCCTCACGAAACGGATGTTGGGGCCTACTGCTGTAGTTTACTCCCAAGGGTGCTGTTGCTGCTGAAGCAACGGTGGTCGAGAAGATCGACACCAGCTGGGCTGTGCCGACGTTCCGACGGTCACTTCGAATCACCGGCCGAATCCGATCTTTTTACCCGTCGTTCGTCCAACAATCTTAATCTTTCATATTTCATGCGTTGATGAGAGCAAGGGCCAATCGATCATGGGATCACACTAGGCACGGGCCCTGCCTGTAACAATTCATGTGCGCATTTTCTTGACGTCGATATGTAGAGCAGGACCCTTGGTATACGGTGCCCTACAAGCCTACACGTGCAACAGTGATGATACGTGCGTGTGCGTGAAAAGGAGAGGCAGGTGGAGATCATCAGCCGAAACAAACCGCCCGAAGGGGGCTCCGTGAGGGAAATACAGGTACCCCTCACAACCCCCCTAACTGGGGGGTGCGGGCCGATCTGCGGAATTCTGGGTCGACAACCCAGGCACAGCAGCTCGATAGAGAACTACTGCGCGACTTCGTGAGCACACTAGGCTCGAGGAAATCAAGGTATGAGTCACTTTTTAAGACTGCGAGATCGCTGGTATGCCAACTGCTGTCTTCATCTTGCAAAATTCAACGACCAAAGCGTTTCTTGACGTTGAGACAAAGCGTTTTTTGACGTCGACACCCGGCAGACGTAGGACGGGGAGGACAGCGCAGCGGGTGCTGTACACCTGCACCCAGCAACAGCTATTGCATTGCAAGTGGTCTAGACAGGGTCGGTAGACGCACCGTGGATCTCTGCTGCAACAACAGCAGCATTGCTCAAGAATTCCTCGCTCACATCTCTTTGTCTGGTCATTTGTCCTTCTCAGATCCTCCCTGTTGCGGAGGACCCGTAAATCACGGAGGGAGGCTAGTCCGGACTGCAGTTGACTCGCGATGGGTCAAGGGGCGAGCGGACTACCGGGAGCACCCGGAGGACCGCCTGGGGGGCCGGGGGGCGACAAGAAGGATGAGAAGAAGAAGAAGAAGTTCGAGCCCCGGCCACCGATGAGGACTGGCAAGAAGAAGAGGAAGAAAGGGCCGTCGGTAGCGGTACGGACTCCCCAAGGTGTGTGAATGAAATGGGCCCCAAAGGGGCTGCTGCTGTGCGTTCCAGGGCATTCTGCCGCCGTGCCGTAGCCGATCTCTCGTGAAAGGCAGCGCTTGTTGATCGCAGCCAGGGGCTGCACGTGTGCTAGAGAGAGATGCAGTGCCAGCAAGCTTGTTGATGAAGAATGCACAGGGCAAATCTCGAGAGAGCTTTGTCCTTTCAAGCAGACGGCGACCGAGCATCACTCACAGCACATCGTCGATGTCAACGTCCATCAGGCATATGGTATGCTAAATACAGCAGTAGCCATTTTCTTCTCAACCTGCGACCTGAGCACGCGCTATTATAGCCCCGCTTAAGCCCACGTTCAACGAAACTGTACATGTAGACCCGAGCTTCAGCCGCACTATTTAGCACCGGAAGGACGAGCTCGGTCCAGGGGGTGTGGTATCTTAAGTCACCTACGGTAGTCTGGTCGTGAAGTAGCGTTGTCTGTTCTTGACGCTTGGCGATACCGTACCATCTGTTGGACCCCGCACCCACCCTGCTCGATCCGGCCGGGTGAGCCTCCGAAATGTTGACGTTACACGACTCTCCTTGGATGAAGCACCAGGAGCCGCGCCAATTCTGTAAGATGCAACGTGTCATCCTACAGCAGCATCACTTCGGTATCATCATTTGAGGTCCAGACCTGATACATGTACAACAGTGCCGTATGAAGGCCAAGCCTTTGTGACAACAGTTTTTTAAATATATTATGTAGAAGTTAAAATAAACTATGTAGAAGTAAATAATACGTGCCCCAAGGAGTTACGCGAGAAAACGTCCAACACATTGTCTAGAACCAAAGGATTCTGTTGAAAACGACGAGACCCGCGTTACTACGTATATAATTGCTTACTGCTGTACCCTTTTTCTTTTGCGCTGTTCCCACCACTATATACTATTCGGTCGGTCGAAAAACAAGTCTTCCCGACGGCGAAGTGTCGACTACGCCTCCTCAAGCTGGAGCGGATCAAGGACTTTTTGATGCTGGAGAAGGAGTACATTCGGAACCAGGAGGTTTTCAAGGTGATTTCGGCGTTCGTCCAGTGGACGATGATCTGTGCGCACGAATTGTTCACGGCAGTAGCGAGGGCGCAGTTTGTCCCAGACAAGCACCGGAGATCAATTTAGTTATGCGACACGCGCCAGCATGCCATAGGGTACCTATATTTAGTCAGCCACATCCATGTGGTGCATACATACAGGCGTCCGTTTTCGTCAGCCAAACTGATGTGACACTTACAGGCTAGCAGAGCTGGATCGATGCACAGGCATCTTCTCTAATGGCGTTGTCACCCGCCACTCACCCACATTTTCTAAATAGTTTCGCACTTCGTGTTGTTGGAGGCCGTCAATAACTTAAAAAAAATAGCCTCGCGGCGAGAGCAGCACGATGAAGGAAGCGAGCGCCACGCGACTATGTCCTCCCCTCCCCCCAGCACCCCTCCCCCCCCCCAACAGCCTGCCCAACTTGTCACGACATCTGTATGCCCAAATGTCTTCCTTGTCCACATGTGGTTTCAATTTTTATTAGCCTCGTGAGGAGAAGGATCAGGAGGAGCGGCAAAAGGTGGACGACCTTCGCGGATCCCCCCTGTCCGTGGGGACCCTGGAGGAGATGATCGATGACAACCACGCCATCGTGTCGTCTTCAGTGGGGCCGGAGTACTACGTGAACGTGATGAGCTTCGTCAACCAGGACCTGCTTGAGCCCGGGAGCTCGGTGCTCCTCCACAACAAGGTGTGTTCTTGTAAGAAAATCGGTTACGCCTGTATTCCGTGGCTAGCTTGTGGGACCACTTGGGCAGAAAAAAACAAAATCTGGACACAAAAACACACAATAAACCATGCGTAGTTTTCTTTTTTTTCATCGTTTCTATGTACAGCAGTCGGGATGGCTGTCGTCGTCTGCGTTGTTAGGCGCACTGGATGCCTTGGAAGCTTGGTGCCACCCTTGAAACCCTTGAAGAACAAGCGTGTTTTTGTAAATTCAGTGCTGATAAGGTGTACATGTGTACGTGGTCCTGTTGGGAGACAGGGTGGGTGTGCTGTTTGGGGTTCTAATATTTCCTGCAGCATGGTTGAACTTTGGGATGAAATTGTCCTACGTACAGCAGCAGCGGCATAGGTAAAGCTGCGCTGCTTCACAACAACGTATTACCAAAAGAAACGAGTTCAGTGCGGAGATTTGCGGCGGAGGAGTCTCCAAACAGTGGATGGAGCGAACTCCAAAGCCTGTCTTGAAACATCTCGTGCTGTATCACAGAAGTGTCATCCTGTGATGCCCGTTGACCCGACACACAACGCTATGGAACACCCTAACCACCCAGCATGAATACACGCCCTTACCACAAGCACCTAGTATGTATGAGAATACAAGAACTTCCGTGCATCTGATACGTCCGTAGTGCAGTGGAACCAGCACCTGCAGCGCGCGTCTGGAGGACTGCTCTAGCTCGTAGATGAACCTCTCACAGGCGTCCATGTGCACTTCTCGAGACACTTCTGACTGGTTCATG